CTGGATTATCCGGATGCAGCACCCTGAGACAGTGCCCATAGCAAGACTTGTGCCTCAAACTGCACCTGTTTGGGGCCACCACCTCTATGTGCCCAGGGCCATTCTGCAGCTTCAGGACTTTTCTGTTCTTGCCATGGGCTCTGCTTGCAGAGCTCTGGTTGGGAAGTGGCATCAAGCGTGGGCAGTGGTCATGCCCAGCTAGGCACAACTGGATAGGATGCTTCAAGCCGTTCCCATGACTCTACTTTGCACAGCATTTCTGCTCTTCTGCCATGAGTGTCTCCAGGCGGGGGATCTGGTCCTGCCTCTCAGCCCAGCATGGGCTGCAGTTTCGGCTCATGCAGGCAATAAATCAGCCTGCTTGCCCGGAGGTGGCTGTGTGGCCCCTGCTGCCTCAGCTCACATTTCCCAGCCTCAAATTACCCCAGGCTGCCAGAGAGTTGGATGGTTTTGTGCCACTCCTCCAAACTCCCCTTGCTCTGTTTTTGTCACCAGATTTTGCCAAAGCCTCTCGAGTGTCCCCATGTCCAGGCACAGCATCTCCCAGCACGTGGTCCCCACCAGCAGCCCTGCTGGGCAGCAGAGCTGTGCCAGCCCCAGCTTCTCGACACCACAGGGAGCCAGATGAGCCTCGGGAAGGCAGCTTCGCTCAACCTCAATGGCATTTGCTCCTCGACCAGATCAGTACAGGGTCAGAGGTCCTCTGCCAAATTTGGACATGTTTGGCTCAGTGGGGGAGCAGCCCAGAGTGTGCTTTTTGCTGGAAACTGCCTGGAGTGTTTCTCCTTGAAAACAGTTTTTTCCCAGTGGGGTTCCTTTGATGCTCATACTAGGAGCACCACATGCAGCAGTTACACTCCCAGCTGGAGTCTCTTTTCCCCTGACTGAGGAGTCCCTCTTTCTGTCCCCTACAGCCCCTTTCCCTGTCCAGCAGTGCCAAGCAGACAGGGGTTGGAGGTGCTGGAGGTGATGGCAGGCTCTCTAATGGAAACAGCCCTGCCACGGGGCAGTGAGTGAGGGAATCCTTCTGCTGTCAGCACCCACAAAGTATTGGATGCTGTGAGATCCTGGAGGAAGCTGGGGGAGAAGCTTCCTTTGTGATGGCACAGCTCACCCTTGGTGCCTGGCCAGCCAAGCTGCCCCAGAAGAAAACCACTAAATCCATGAGACTATTCAGGCACCCCAGGTGGGTGTTATGATCAAAGCACAATGGTTCAGGGGCCAAGCAGAGAGAAAAGATCTGTGTTTGTGTGGCATCAGCAGACTTCCCCACAGCCCCCACTTTTCGGGCAACAGAGGAAGCTATTAAATGAGGCGCATCCATAGTGGTCCCAGCAGGATGCTCTCCCCTATATGCTATCTTCTCTCTCCCTGCAGTCTAGCTACTTCCCACACCAGCCTCTTTCCAGCTCCTTGCACTGGTGCTAATCCCCTAATCTGTGCAAAGCAACAATTTTCTGCATGGCACAGCTGCTGCTTTGAGATCTGCATCCCTCCTCCCCCCCTAACCAGCTCCCTTATCAGCAGCAGGTATCAGGTGAGCCAGGCACCATCTACTTCTGATAAACTCGTGTTTTATTTTGCCCTATTTCCATTTATCTCCAAGCTTGTAATTATCCCTCATCTCACAATGTGTTGTGCTGCCTTGCGTGCTGAGGAGTGGAGGTGACAGGTGCTTTGCCAGGCAGCCCTGGACCAGTGTCTTCCTGGTGGGATGCAAGGACCTGGTGAGGTGATGTTCTGGGACGGGTCCTGCCCACCATGCTGGCTGCTGAGCTATCCCTCCTCTCTCAGCACCCAGGCTGCATTCCCTTTAGTCTTACACAGCGGTGGAGATGGATTCTCTCCCTGTGAGCCAGATGTGTTGCACGGAGCATAAACACCCACGACAGTTGTTGTGCTCCTCGGTGCGAAGGCATCAGATGTCTGCATTAAAACAAAGCTCTCCACTTAATTACTCAGGCTGATAATTCAGCGCGTGGAGGCGGCTCTGGCTGAGAGCAGAGGGCTGGATCACAGCTGGGACTGGAGAGCCTTGAAGTGCACATTAATCCCAGCTCTTGCAGCCCTGATTAACGGTGCTGGAAACCTGCCCGCCCCACTCATTCCCAGGGAAAGGGTCTTTTACTGCCCCACCGGAGGCAGCCCAGGCTGGTGCCCAAGTGGCTCTGCTGACCCCTCGCTAGGCCAAGGTGCCCCCTTCTCGGCATCTTTGGAGTAGGCTGGTCCAGGACATGAGGGACCATCACTCTGAGGGTGTTGTGCTGCCCTGGGAACTCCCATCTACTGCATCTGGAGCCCATGGGAGCTGGGTGCAGTATGGTGAGGGTCAGGCAGGACCCCAGGGTCACCCTGTGCAGGGACCTGCTACAAGGGAGAACTAGAGACTGGAACTGCCGCTGGCTGGTGGGAACTGGAGACAGACCATGGCTGGGCTCAGATCAAGACCAGGCAGACCACCTAAGGCTTTCCCCTTGGGGCCAAAGCTGCCGACTCCTGCTAACCTGAATTTCTCCTTCCAGGACCAACAAACACCTCCTACAAATTCTCCTTGCTCCCCTCAGTCATCACCAGGGCCTAGGGCTCTTCCTGGCAGAGTCCCTCACTCAACTGTGTGCCTAGGCCCGCAAGCACCTGCCCAGCTCTGCCAGTTTATCTGGGATGGGATTCTTTCTTGGACCTATCTCCCCTTCTCTCTCCCTCCTGCCTGGTTCTCCAGCCCTGCCACTACTCCCTTCCCTCTCCTCATTCCTTCCTGACCCCAGTGCATAGTCATCCCTGGATCTGGAGCATCCCTCTCCCAGTAAAGCCCCCAGTAGACTGGCACTGACGAAGATCTGCCTGTGGGGTCCTGTCTGTCCAGGGAGACTGATTTCCTCCAGCTCTGCTCCTGCCCTCTTATCTCTCTTCCCTGGCCTGCACATTTTGCTCTGTGGCCGGGGTGAGTGGGAGTCACAGACCCTATCCTGCCTGGGCTGAGTACCCAGGCAGGTGCTGGGCATGCAGGTCAGACAGGCCCAAAGCAGGCAGGCAGGCAGATGCAGGCAGCACCATCCCAGCGGGACTCCAAGAGTTAAGTTGTCATGTATTCAGGGCCATGCGCTGGCCAGGAATTACACTTTTATCGGCATGCGGTGCTGCCGCCACTTGAATTGGGACTGGGAACTCTATTTCCGAGCTCACCCAAATTATTCTCGAAGAGATAAAGCGCGGTGCAGAGCAGCGCCGGCGCTTCATTAACATTCCCCAGCCCATTCAGCTTTAAACGAAGATTGCCTGCCTCGGAAAATGATAAAATTGAACATGTGAAGCAGGGCATTATGTTCCATCAGCCGATATTATTTCCCACGCAGAGGCCGAGCAGAGACACAAACAGCTATTTATGCAGTGCCTGGCCAAGCCAGGGTGGCTTGGGAGGGGGGAACAGGCAGTGGTGGGGACACAGAGTGGGTGGCGAGTGCCCCCCTCCCATCCCTGGGCATAAGAGGGGCTGCCTGCATACTGCCAAAGCTGCTCTGACCTTCTGGGGGCTTCCAGGCTTGTACCCAGGGTGCAAGGTGGGTCTGGAGACCACAGACCTGCTCCATGCATGGTGTGGAAAGGGACTCAGGGGTGTGTGGGTTCCCCCAGGCAGCGCTGGCAGGGCTGGGGCATCTCCGTCTGCTGCCCTGACCTGGAAATGCATGTCCCCTACCAGACCTGAGCAGGTGGGGTGCTGGCTCCGTGTGCAGGATGGGGTCTAACCTCGTGGGTGGGTGCTGGGCCAGTGGGGTCGGGGGCCATCCACAGCCAGGGAGCTGTGCCTCCCCAGAGGCAGGCAGGGAGGGCTGGGCAGGCAGGGGAGGGCTGAGCAGGAATGCCCCCGGGGCTGCAATTGGATTTTGCTTGGCCATGCTGAGCCTATCGATCCAGCAGTAATTAAAGTCGCTCCAAAACCTGACTCATATTCAACCTTGGAAGGAAGAAGCTTCTCTGAGAAACACCCTCTGCTTCCCGTGTGCTGGCATGGTGTGTAGCAAAGCCTTGCCAAGGTGCTTCCAGCCCATCCCTTTGGGATAGATGGGCTCTGTCCCAAAGAGAGACCCTGCCTTGGGACTGCCTGGGGCCCAGGCAGCAGCACCCATCAGGCAGCATTCTTGCCAGGGTCCCCGGCATCACACAGCCCCGCTTGTGAATGCTGATGAGGTTCAGCCCTTGAGGGGGGGGGTCCATGTTGCCTGGACCCTATAGCTATTCTCTGGACCCTGGCTGTTTTGTCCCCATGTGCCTGAGACACATCCCTGGGATGTGGTAGTGCTCCCCCATGCCCCTTGTCATTGTCTGGGCCTAATGAGGGACTGACACAGGGAGAGGAGCCTATTGAATCCACAGCCACTCCTGAGAGGCACCTGGGTGTTGGGGTGGACCTGCTGCCACATGTCCACAGGATGTAAAACCCCTTCTCCAGTTCAGAGGCAGCCGCGGAGGTGTGAAGGCAGGCGAGGAGCCTGCGAGGTGTTTGTGTGTGTGTGTATGTGTGTGCAGGGGCTTGCACGCCCAGCCCTGCCGCCAGCCCCGCTGCTATTCCTGGTATTCGCAGCAGGTCGGGACAGGCACTGGGGAGGGGGAGCTGCCTTTCGTCGGCGCCCCCCGCACCCTGCCTGGACCCTCCCACGAGAACGCAGGGCCGCCAGGACCCGGTGGCTGCGGCAGAGAGGGGGCGGGGGGCTGCCCCGGGGAGTCCCCGCGCAGGGGACCCGGGGGCACAGCACGGGCAGCGCGGGCAGCGGTGGGGCTTTGCGGCGGGAAGGTGGCTCCATCTGCAGGACACGGACCCGGCCGGGAGACCCGGTGCGGAGGATCCTCGCCGCCCCTGCCCGCCGCTTTCCATGCGGGGCACAGTGCTGGGGGACAGCGGACAGGGGCAGCGACTCCTCCGGCTCCTCCGCCCCCATCCGCGCCCCTCCCGGGATGCGGGGCTGGGGAAGCCGTGTCCCTTCCCGCATCCCTGCACACCCCCAATGTCTCCCGCGCCCGGTGCTCCCGCCGACGCCCCTGCACCCCCGAGCACCCCGCACCCACTGCCCCTGCACTGCTCAAGTGCTCTCATTAGGTACATCCAGTGCCTGGGCATCCTTCGCCCCCAAAGGCAACCCTCACCCTGCTCCGCACCCCTGCAGCCAGTCCTGCCTCCCGCACCCCGGGGCATTCCACGCCTAGAGATCCCGGGAACATTCCCCCTCGCCGGCAGCAGCCGGGACGGCGGGTCGGGCCCGGTGGCGGCGGGAGGCGGAGGCGGGGCCGGGCCGGGCTCCACCCCGGCCCCCGGCCCACATAGGCCGGCCGAGAGGGCCCCTCGCCCCCTGAGCCTGCGCCGTCCCGGGGGCGCACGGCCCATCACGGTGGTCGGAGGAGAGCGTGGTGCAGAAGCTGCGGGTGGATCCGGGGCAAGGGGTGCTGTGCTGCCTGACTGCGGGGTTCCTGTCCCGGGCGGCGGGATGCTGCGGCAGCGCTGCGGGCGGCTCCTGGCCCGGCTGGAGCAGGGGCTGCAGCTTCTGGAGCTCGGCGGCAGCGTCGAGGAAGGTGAGTGTGTGCAGCCCCTCGGCCCGGGGCACCCCGGAACCCCTGTCTCCGTCGGGGTTTGGGGAAGCTTGCCCCGCTCCCGGCTGGCCACCCGCTGCTTTTGCCCCCAGACTACATCCGGATCGCTCGGTGCTTCGAGGCGACACGCCAGAGATGCTGCCGGCTGGAGCAGGACGGGCGTCGTGCCCGCGAGAAGCTGGCCCGTGTGGAGGCCGAGCGGGCAGCGCTGGAGGTGAAGCTCAAGCACGCCCGAAACCAGGTGGAGGTGGAGATGAAGAAGCGGCACCGGGCGGAGGCTGAGCTGGAGAAGCAGGTCAGAGGGCTGGCCACAGGGGTACCCCGCAGGGCTGGCTGCGGGGACCCCAGCCCTCTCACCACCACCCTGCTTCACTTACAGGAGCGCAAACTTCAGCTGGTCTTTGAGTCTCTGATGCGGGAGCCATGGGGCAATGAAATGCTGAGCAGGAACCAGTGCTCTGTTCTCAGCGCCCTGGCCGGCCGGCGCCTCGGGGCGACCCTGGCACCGGGCAGGAGGTGAGCAGGGCTGGCAGACCTCAGCCCCTCGGGCAGCCCGGAGCTTGGCTGTGCCCCTCTCCCCCTCACTGCTGCTTGCCCTGAGGGGCTGGTTGGGCATGGGGATGCTTGGGCTCTGCAAAGGCATCAGTCATGAGCTCCCAGGAGCATCTATACGAGTAGGTGCTGGCTGAGGGGGGAATTGCTCCAGCTGAGCTCACTCTGCAGGTCATCTGCAGTGGACGAGTCGTGCCAGTCCCTCTTGTCCCACTCAGATATCAGCTATGACCGCACCGAGGACGATGTGGTAAGGAGTGTCCTGTTGTGACTCTCAGGGTTCACCCCAGCAGTGAGGGGGTGTTTTTGCCCCACTTCTGCAGTGGAGCAGCCCCTTTGCATGTCTGTGGTTAGGGGTGGGCTGCTGTCAGAGCCAGAGATGAATGCTGGGGTTGTCCCTGGCCCTGCCAGCCCCTAGACTCCCTGCTGCCTTTCAGGACGTTGATATGACGGTGGTGCGGACCCTGAAGCGGAAAGCCCCGGAGAGGCAGGTATGAGGGAAATTCTGGGGGAAACCCCCCCCCCCGGGGGCTGGTGTTGAGGTGGGGTCTATGCCCCTCTATGGGTAAGGATCTCCCAACTCTGATCCACTATCCGGTAATTTGCCCTTGGGTCCCTCTGCCCACTCAGATCCTCGTGTGCAGCCCAGGTTGGGGTGCTGGCCCTGGGCCATGAGAGGTGAGGGCACCCAGGTACTTATCCATCCCAGCACAAGAGGCTGCAAGGAGCCTGGCAGGGGGTTTAATTTATTGATGCTGGGCTGGGAGCATCGTCTCTCGGCAAACCTCCCGCGATCAATAGAAACTCCATTATGCTCCACTGTGGCCCAGCTGGGCTCCTCAATAATTCATCCCCATATGTAGGCATCCCCCACCCTGCTCTGCTTGCACCTCTGCATTGCAGGCCTGGCCTGGCCTCCCCCAGCCCCAGGGATGGCTCCAACCCAGAGGGGGGCCTGAGTCCCCAAGGTGCCTGGTGTGGGGCAGGCAATGCTGGGAGGGTGACATGAGACTGGGACTTTTTGTTGGGCTGGGGCCACTTAACTTGAGTGATCTGGTGTGGGGGGCAAAGTCAGGGAGGGGTCTCTGCCTGCTCTTCACACTGTTTTCTCTGTTTATAGCATGTGTCCCTGGCCCCTCAGATTGGCCCTGTTGTGATGGCAAAGCGGCACCGTTCTTCTGTGGTACCCCATAATGCTGTGAGTAGGGACCTCAGCGTGCCCTGGGCAGGGATGGGGTGCATGGGCTGTCCCAGTGCCAGAAGGCAATGCTGCAGCCTTCAGTCCTGTGGGTGCTGTGGGGTCTGCTGTATCACCCTGGTCCCAGTGGGGACAGCATCTCTGGCTCTGGAGGACCACAGGGATGTGGAGTGGGTGGAGCAGAGATCATGAGGGAGATGTTGGAGAACTGTGGGGCTGCAGACAGGCATCTTCTCATTGCCTCCTATCTTGACAGGCAAGTGTCCCCTCTATGCCCCCTCCTGCTGAGGTCCCAGGCCCTGCTGGAAACCTCTTGCCCACTGCTTTGGTCCCACGCCGCCGGTCTTGCCAGGGACATCGTGTCTCCATGCGTGCAGGTCATGGGAAGGGCTGAGGAAAGGGTTGGTGGGTGATGCAGGGCTAGCCTCAGGATGCTGCTGTCACATGGGAGGGAGGGGATTTGCTGGGGGATGCTTATCCCCACCATGGAGGTACTGGGGTCCTCTGGACATGCCAAATGCCACTGTCCCATGCAGAGGTTCCCTGAGAGCTGGAAAGCCTCCTCACATGCCAGCTGGTAGATGGGATGGTTTGCCTTTCAGGTCTCCCTCCACTACCTCCTCCCTCTGAAGAGCTGACCACGGCGTGCAGCACCAGTGAAGCTCAGGGCTGCCGTGCCCTGGGGCAGGAGAGCCACACTGAGGGTAGCTCAGTGGGGCAGCCAGCACCAGCCCCCTTCCCCTCACCTCCACAGAGCCTCCCACCAGTCCAGCACCAGTTCACATCCAAAACGGTTTGAGTCCCAGCCTCTCTCTCATCCTGGGTGGCAGGCAAGGGGAGAGGGTCGTGGTGTGGGGGGGGCAAGGCTCTCCTCTATCCCCCACCCCATTAGCTCTGCCTGCGAGGGGGAATGGATGGAGGCAGTGGGGGCTGGCTGAGAGAAGATAAAGGAGTGGTACTGGGTATCTGCAAGAAGGGGGGGCCCCTTACCCTGCTGTCCTCTCCAGGTGATCCGCCCTGAGCCATGTGGTGTCTGTGGCTCCCGCATCCGCTTTGGGAAGACTGCCATCAAGTGCTGTCAGTGCCAGCTGCTGCTGCACACCAAGTGTCGGGAGCAGTGCCCCAACCCTTGTGCACCCCGGCCTCGCCACCATACCTGGCCCTGTGAGGTGAGGGGGCACAGCAGTGCGTGGGGGCTGCTCCATGTCCCTGTGGGGCTTTGGGGCTATCAGCCCCAGGATGCTGGGCCTCTGCCCACCCTGACTGCAGGGCTGGGTGGTGGGCACAGAGTGGGTCAATGTTGTCCTCCCCAGGGTGTGCTGGCTGACTTCGCCCCCTCCACAAGGCCCCTGGTGCCCCTGCTGGTGGTTCAGTGTGTGACCGAGGTGGAGACACGAGGCTTGACAGAGGTAGGGGCTAGGATGGTGGAGGTGGTGATGCTGTGGTTCCTATGGGGCTGAGCCTCTCTCCCTGTGCCCCAGACAGGGCTGTACCGGGTGCCGGGTACGGAGCAGCTGGTGCGGGAGTGGAAGAGGAGGCTGCTGCGGGCTGGGGGTGCGCTGCCTGCCCTCAGCAGTGTGACTGACATCCACGTGGTGTGCGGCGTGCTCAAGGACTTTCTGCGGGGCCTCAAGGAACCACTGGTTACCTTCAGCCTCCACCCTGCCTTCCTGAGTGCTGCTGGTGAGCAGGGGTCCCAAGGTGGGACACGAGGGAAAAAGAGGCTGCTTCTAACAGTGATCCCTGGTGCCAACACAGACATCCTGGATGATGCTGCCTGTGACACAGCCCTGCGGCACGTGGTGAGCAAGCTGCCCCCAGCCAACAGGGACACCCTGGCCTTCCTTATGCTGCACCTGCTCAAGTGAGTGGATCATCCTGGTGTGGGTTCTGTCCCCATCTTCTGGCTCTCTGCCCCTCACCCAAGCTTTGTGCCCTAGAGCAGGGAAGCTGCAGATGAGGGGCCCATTGGCTGGACAGCATGCTCACACCCTCTGTCCCCACTTGCAGGGTGTCACGCAGCCCCAACTGCAAGATGGACGTGCTCAACCTGTCCCGTGTGTTTGGCCCTACACTGGTAGGACACAGCTCAGCCAACCCCACACCACTCGCCATCATGGAGGACACACCGCGGCAGTGCAAGGTGAGGGGTCCTTGAGGCGTGGGGTGTACCCTGGGCACTGCCAGCATCTCTGTCCTACATCCCTCTCTGCCCAGGTGGTGGCTCGTCTCCTCTCGCTGCCACCTGACTTCTGGAGAGGCTTTGTGGGGACAGAGCAGGAGAACCTGGTGCCGACGCCAGCCCCAGTGGGTGAACGTGGTGAGGCACAAGAGCCCCAGACCCTCCTGCCCTGGCCTTGTGGCTTCTTTGAAGGGTCCTGGTTGTCCATGGCTGGGGTTTGATAGCTGTTCTCACTCTGTCCTGCAGAGTTGTTCTTCCACCCCATTGTCTCTCCGGAACCCAAGGCAGGCCAGCTGAGCCCAGCCGGTACCTGCTGCCTCCCCAGCACCCTGCGGAGCTGCGTGGGCACGGCCACCCGGCCCCCGTGAGTGCTGCCGGGGGTGGGTGGGAGCCCAGGGGAGCTCGCTTTGCACCCCTGACTCATCTCTCCCCACGCAGGCAGGGGCCGGCCCCGAGGAAGGTGGGCCGGTTCTTCCCTTCTCCGGTGTAGCCTGCACCAGTGGCTCCCTGGGGACAAGGAGCTGGCACTGGAGGAGGAGCAAAGCCTGCAGCACCAGGCTGCCTGTGGGGTGGCAGTGCTGAGCTCGAAGCTCTGCTCTGCTTCCCTGGGGTGCTTCCTCGGGACTGGGGAGCAGAGCTGGCTCTGCCCAGCCATGGTGGCAGGGATGCTACCCCAGTGCTGTACTTTGTCAAGTTTCTATTAAATGTTTGCAGCAAAACACGCCTGGCTGTGGCTGCTGTCTGTCCCTCCCTGCTGCTGCCAAGTGCCAGGGATCACAGGCATGATGGAGCCTGGCTGGGCAGTGGACAAGAGCTGTACAGTCAGCACAGGTGTAAGCAATGCCTATTCTGGGAGGGCAGACAAGGCCCCCTTCCACCTGAGCTGAATCCCTCCTCTCCTGCCCTGGAGCTCAGGATGTGGGAGGCCCCTCTTTGAGCTCAGATGCTGGCCTCAAGTAATTGGAGCTGCTGCTGCTCAGGGCAGGACAACCTTAAAGTGTTTCCAGACTTCCTAGCGCCTCAGTGGAGGCCCCTTTAACCCCTTCCTCTCCTCCAGCCCTGGCACTAGAGCTGCAAAGCCCAAGCAGCACTGGAATGTACAGCTCTTTTCCTCCAAGACAGGAAAGCAGAATGATGCTGTAATGGAGCAAGATCCTAGGAAGGGCTCATCTCCCAGACAGCTCTGTGCAAGGGGGAACTTAGAGAAAAGGTTCATTACACAACAGGGCTGAGAACTGCCCCAGGGTCACATCCAGCAGCTGATAAACCTTTGTCCCTACTAAAAGCTGGACCAGATGTGGCACATGGGAGAAAATTCATCTACAATCCTGAAAGCAAGTACTTTGGCTCAGTTTTCCCCAGCGCAGGAGTGTACACCAGAGGGCAAGGAAATTAACACATCCAAGGCAGAGGCAAAACTGAAGGAGTTTAATGTGCTTAAAGCCAGGGAACAGCTAATCCCCGCCCAGGACCACAGGAGAACTGGCACAGGAAGGCACAGGGCTGGGAGCAAGGATTTACTGCAAATCCATTGAGCTGGGGTGGTACTGGATGAACGGAGAATTTCTAATGTGGCGTCTCACTGAAGGTGAGAGGCATGATGGGGCCTTTGGTGGAGTGCAGGGCTTTAGCACAGAGCTCAAAAATGGGGGTAAATGGATAAAGGGCAGTGTTGGTTACAGTAGAGAGCCTGTGCTTCAATAAAATCAAGTTTTTGAGACAAAGCAAGGTTCTACATCTCTGCCACCTGCACACATGTAAGTTGATTGCTCTGGTGCCCTGTGAATGTGGCTAGTGCAAGAGGGAGACATGCAGTGAGCCCCCCAACCTACAGCCATGCTGGTGTGAAGGAGGCTCTTGGCCCACCAGGGTGGCAGAGGCTTGCTGCCATCACTCTGAGCCCTGCCTAGGCAGCAGGCACAGGTCTCAGCCTGACAGAAGCAGGCCTGGCAAGGCTGGCAGCTCTTCTGACTTGCACTGAGCCCATGGGGGTGGAGGTTGTGCTAGGGGAAGGGGTGCTCCTGCAGTTCCCTCCAGGGCCAGCAGCCTGCCAGTCCAACCCAGCCCTTGTTTGCCAGTACCCTTAGGACAGCTTGGCACTGTTTTCCCAGTAGTAGGCAGGAGCCCAGCTCAGGCAGTTGCAATCACACTGATGAAATCGGGAGGCTCCCAGGTGGCTCCTATGGAGTGAGCTGCCTACACAGGACAGGCCCATTCAAAGCTCCCTGGTCTCTAAGATGGGCCAAGACCTTCCAGGGAGATGCAGACAGCAAATGATGCAGGAAGAGCCTGGTGAGGAGTGGCAATGTGGTGCTGTTAGTGCCCTTTGGTGGAGAAACACCCAAAATTGGATCCACAACACTGCAGGCAGCAAATGCTTCCTGCACAGGTAGGCAGGCTGGTGCCAGGGTCACATGCTGTCCCTGAAGCCTTCACCCTGGCCCAGGGCTGGACCCAGGGCTGCAAGAGAAGCAGCACGCAAGGCCGATGCTCACCAGCTTTAATGTCTGTCTGGAGCAGTAGTCAGGCACTTGCAGGGCTCCTGGCCTGTACCTCCTCCTTTGGGGGTACTGGGAACCTCCCCAGAGGGCACAGGCTCTTGTTGTGGGGCACAGCAGGGAGTGGGTGGCTGGTGCTGGCCCCTGACTCACAGGATAATCTGGTTTTTGTAGCTGCGGCTCAGCTCCTTGTGAGGAAGGACAATGGAGTTGAGAATAACGACCTCAGCAGGGATGGTGACACTGCACCCTGCAGGGAGAATGCAAGGGGGTTAGCAGGCGGGGAGAGACTGCCTCGCTGAGCAGGGCCAGGGCCATTTGGTGCAGCAGGGACGTACCTAGGATCGTGATGGATGGCGTGAGGCGTCCATCCCGGAAAAGGGTCTCGCTGTCAATCTTGGCATAGGGATCATTGGGGTTGGGGTCACTGGGCGTTCCTTCAACCCGGGCCCAGCGCCCAATGGTGCTGTCCCAGCCCACAATGGTATTGAGGACACAGGTGTGGTCCTGGGGTGAAGGAAAGGGGGATGCAGGGTGCTGCTGCCTCCCTGCAAGGAGTGGGGGTGGATACCCACTCCCTCAGGCAAATCCTACTTACGTGGAGTGAGGCGCCGTGCAGGACAATGGACTCTCGCACACGCACACCAGCTCCCACTGTCACCCCCTCTCCAATGGAGACATTGGGGCCCAACTGTGAGGATAGAGGGAGGTGATGAGGGCAAGGAGGACAATGATGCCCTTGGCACCCCTGAGTGTCTCCCTGCTCCAGGGCTCCCCCAGCCTGCACTCACCACTGCAGTGTTGTCAATGGAAGCTGTCGGGTGGATGTACACATTCCCTGCAACACAAGGCGGTGGTGTCAGGGAAGGCAGCTCACAGGAGCACGTGTCTCTTGGATCAAGGGAGATCCTGCTCATGGCTCCCGCTGCCTCCCAAGGCAGCCCAAAGGCATTAGCAAGTCAGAAAGGTACCTCGGATGACAGGGCCTCCAGGTTTGTTCTGGGCCAGTCTCTCTGGGTGGCTTTTGCTGTACTGGTTCAGGTAAAGGCGGCTGGCATAGATAGCAGAGCTGGAGAAGGAAAAGCAAAATATTGTTATTGTCACTCTGGCACTACCAGGGCAGAGGAGGAAGATCCAAAATCAGCACCACCCACCTACGGTCAGGGCCCTGCCTGAGCACCCTCCTCTCCCATCCCTCATATGGATCACTTGATGCTCCTGCTGCACCAACTCCACCTTCAGCCCTTACCCAGCTGATTTGATCTGGCTCCAGAAGCCATCAGTTTTGTAGACATAGAGTTTGCCACTCCCAGCCAGTGCTGTAAAAACGTCTTGCTCCAGCCGGATCACTTCTGCACGCTGCCAGCCATTGGAGCTTTCCTCTCTGCAAGAAAGAGTCCTGTTAGACACCTACCCCAGTCAAGGCCTCGGCCAAGGACCCTGGCAGAGCTACCCTCCCCAAATCCAGGGGCTCTGACAAACCCAGACTCCTACCTAGCCATGCACTTCTCCCCAAAGCTGGGGACAGCGCCAGCCATGGGGCTAGGCCAGGACAGTTCCACTGAGCACCAGAGCAGCAGAGGGATGGGGCTCTGCCAGCCAAAATAAGCTCTGAGCCAGAAGCTGATGGTGCAAGAGCCCCACCCAGTCCATGTGGGTGAATGATCCTGTCCCCAATCCAGAGCCTGGCACAGCTGGAGTTTAGCTTTGGTGGTGGCAGAGATGATAGGTGACAGGCTGGCTGGTGCAAAAAGCTGGAGAGGGGAGCAGAGAATTTCCCAGGTGAAAGGCTTGCTCAGTCCCTTGTCCAGAGCTGAATGAAAATGGGGTGGGAAGAGAGGAAGGGAGAGGGGGAGTCTCAAGCTGGCCAGGAGGGGAGCGGAGGAAAGAGCAGCCTGGAGGAAGGAGGGAAGCATGCATTATCACTAGGAATGATCCAGCCCAGAGAGCAGCCAGTGCAGACACAGAGGGAGGGAGACTTACCCAAGGTAAGGACAGCTGGTGCAGGACCAGGAAACAAGTGAGTGATGGCAGAGGAGAAAAGATAGAGAAAGAATGGAGGATGAGTGTGCCGCTGCAGCCCCAGGAAGCAGTGGGGTGGGAGGGACGCAGAGCAGAGTGAGGCACTCACAGTGCTAGCTCCTGCTGGTTCCTCTGGAAGACCTCGCCAATATGCTGGAAGATGGCAGGTGTGAAGAGGTAGATGCCGCAGTTGATGATCTCACTGACAAACGTGCTGGGCTTCTCCACGTAGTGTTGGACCTGGAGGCGAGAGAAGAGTTGTGAATCCTGGGGCACAGCCCCCACGCCCAGCGTCACACCCTCTGTGTCGCACTGGGAACGCGCGCCCACACAGGCAGCGCAGCACCCGCAGCCCACGCTGTGCTCAGCTCCCTAAGGCCCTCCAGTACCTCCTGTGTGTCCGCGTTCGCCACGATACAGCCGTAATTCAGTGCCTGTGTCCTGTTGGCCTGTGGAGCAAGGACACGTAAGCAATGGTAGAGCAGTGGGCAAGCGGATGCAGAGCAGATGAAACCCAGAGTCACAGCCCAGGACCCACCCACCACCAGAGCCACTGGCTTCTAAACCCATGGCAGAGCACTGCAGCTCTTCTGCTCCCCAACACTGCCACTCACTGTGGTACCCAGAATGACAAAGCTGTGCACGTTCCCGTGCTGCTGCCAGAACTCCAGCATCTCCTGTAACGGGAACTCTGAGCACACGTCTGCATTGAGGACAAAGAAGGCCTCAGCACCACCTGACAGGATCTGGTCTCGGAAGTGATAGATGCCACCACCCGTGCCCAGTGCTGCATACTCCTGGAGATACCTGTGAGCCAAGTAGGGAAAAGCAAGGGCTTAGGGAAACAGATGCTTGGTGGTATCAACTGGCACCAAGGCTGGGAAGGGTTGGGAGGGTCTGGAGAGACATAATCCTGCCATGCAGCAATGGGGCTCACATGGACATTGCACAGCAGGAGGCCGTGGCAGCTTAGAGCTGGGCTAGAGAGGCATCTCTGGAGCACAAACCAGCCAGGGCAGGGCCCAAGGCAAAGGAAAGATGATAGAACTAACACAGGAGGCCAGCTGTGCCTATCCACGGTGGGACAGAGCCCACCTGCCTAATGCCTGAATGCTGGCTGGGGGCTGCCAATATGGGGAAGGCAGGTGAGGGGCCGAGCCAGGCTGTGCCACTGTGTGTGCGCCA